CTTTCCGAGCACCGCTGGACGCGTGTAATTGCGCCAGATAAATGTGTAAAATTCAGTAGACAGGTCGTTCGGCCGAGCCCCTGGCCCATTAAGTACCCGTTCTTCGAGCACCATTAGAACATCACCTGTTGGATATTCGTGGTGGCACGGCGTTGCATCGCGATTTGCGTAAGAATCGCGTCTCCTTGCGACGACTCGTGTCGCAACCATCGCAATAAACCGTGGAATGCTGATGATTTTCAACTGAAAGGGGGGAAAAAAGTGGCAAGGTCCTCGTCGGAGCCCGATTCTTGATCCGTTACAAAAATACGACGAGTTATAACCAGAATTTTTAATCATCCAGGCACTTAACGTTCCAGTTTATTATAATTACCCAATTATCTACTTCGTGTAATTAGGTAAAATATCACTGTGGTTCTGTATTTTTTTCTTTCATCCATAAATAATTATAAATATTCACGTGTTACGTTCGTGCCGTTATATCGTGTTTCTATTCGCTTTATAATTCATCTTTTTTTTTCTCAATTAGCAAGAAATCGAATCACGTGTATTAAAACGCATCTTTGCTCATCGAAGCGGTATAAAAAAACTCGGTGATTTTTCCATTTGCTTTGCAAAAAGCAATCTTGTTCGATCGTGAACAAAGTGAAGGGATCCGTGCGATCGGTATTAAAAACGTTTTCCGCAAACATGAGCCGGTTTGCGTATCGCATGTCGGCGAAAGGGTGTTGGGGACGTGTAATCGTTTCGACGAACACGTCGATCGCGGGGATCGTCGAAGGTGACGAGATAAATCGATAGGTAATTCCCGTCGACGATCGACTCTCGACGAAATTTATGTGCAATTAAGCCGTGTGTTCCTTCTTCCTCGATTAGCTGCGAGTTGCTCCTTCGAAGGTCGGCGGAAAATGAATTCAGAATAATAACTGGAGGAAATCGTGGTTTCTCTTCTAACGAAGGGCGTTGACGAATCATGGTCGATTAGGCGCGGTGAAATTTTACGAGGAAACATTACGATCTTTATTGAATAGCCGGTGAAAATCGCCATTGTCGCAAACTGTAATTTAATGGACCGTGTCATGGATGTTCGATTAATGTCGACGTTAGTCTTCTTGTAAAATAAAAGATTTCCCTTTAGTCTCGTTTGTGATTAACCGCTTAAGGATGCAATCAGTCTTCATTGCATTACAAAGGATCAAATGAAGGCAAGCTGTCTTTACAAACGTCGCAAATATCGTGATCGTATTGTACACCATTCTCGAAGGTTGTTGCGGTTTCGATGGACTATTATTAATCCTGTTGAATCGGTGCACAACGCGCGGAAATTACTGTGTTTCTCGAGGAAAAACGACAGGAAAACCGCGAGAGAGGTGTCTGACGTAAGATTCATAAGAAAACAGTGGAGGAATCGAGTCGAGTTTCGCTGTAATTGTTGTCCGAGCGAACCACTTCTATTTCTTCAGATCATTTTTCTTACGCCTACGTCCCGGTGTCGTTTCGTTTGCTCAATGAGACAATAAACACGGAACTGTGCTTTGTATATCTTTCAAGGCATCTGCATCTGTCTTCATCACCGCTGAGATTGTTAGAATTATATAACGTCGCTGGAAGTTTTTAATAAACATAAAAATCCATAATTGACGTCTTCGACAAAAATGAAGAAATATGAATTTTTACGAAAGAAATCAGTTCGTCGAACCCGAATCAAGCTACTTTCAAAATATATATTTTCTGTCGTATTTTTATATCTTAATCCTTCTATCTTTTATTTTTATTTGTCCAATCTTCACAAACACCCCTTCGTCGACCAACATTCCCACGAAACTACACGAGTTATACCAGTTTCCTGATTCGTCAACAGCGTATCCTTGAAACGAAGAGACTCCCTCATAGGAGGAGAGAATCAGAATAAGAAAACAAAAACAACAGGTAGGATCGCCCACGATCGTTCACCACGAAGACGCGTGCTCTCCTTCCTCCCCCGTTAATTAATTCAGCACGGTGCCGTTGGTCCTTGGCATACAGACCGTGCCGGACCCATCGGACGCCTATAAACTGCCCACCGATCGGGTCGCGGAATGTGCATTTTTAGCGGTTGCAAATGCGTGCAAGGGCAAGGCTTTTTTGCCCTGTATACCCCGCCCTCCGTGACGCGATCCTGGTGAAAGGGCGAGAGGGAGAGGAGAGAGCATCCGTGTACCATCGAGCGTCCATGTTGGTCGAGTTAAACAAAGGAGAAGCCAGGATCCGATTCGATTCGATCCTCTTCGAGCTTGTTCTCGAGGACGAAGGTAAACGCACCTCTCGGTCCAGACGCGTCAGCGAGACCAAGAACAGGTAACGGATGCACTGGTGCAACAGGTGCCAGGCACAAAGGCATCGTCGAAGGCTGGACAGCGTTCGCCACAGGGGGAAAATCGTAATTGAGTTTTATAAATAGCGTTCTGAGTCGACTGTTGCTTGATGTTGTCTCTGTATGACTGGATCGGACTGCGTAGCACCGTTTGCACTGTGGGTCTTGCGATCTTTACATTGGGTTATTTATCACTTCATTTTTTTCTGAAAGGGCTTGGGAAAGATCATGATTGTTGATGACTCTCCGGATAATTTGAATGGGTTCTTTGGAACTTGATTTTCTTGCGGGGGTTTCGTTTAAGTGGAATTAATTGCGAAGAGTGGTTAGGTCTTTTTTTTTGATTAAATAAGTTGATTCTTATTTGCTCTTATTTTCCTTTGATTAATAAATATATTTTTTTCCCCTATGTTTATTTTCTGATGATTGTTGATGACTCTTCGGACATTTTGAATGGGTTCTTTGGAACTTGATTTTCTTGCGGGGGTTTCGTTTAAGTGGAATTAATTGCGAAGAGTGGTTAGGTCTTTTTTTTGATTAAATAGGTTGATTCTTATTTGCTCTTATTTTCCTTTGATTAATAAATATATTTTTTTCCCCTATGTTTATTTTCTGATGATTGTTGATGACTCTTCGGACATTTTGAATGGTTTCTCTGGGACTTGATTTTGTTATGGAAAAAGTTTAATCGAAGTGGAATTAATTGCGAAGAGTGGTTAAATCTCTTTTTAATTAAATAGGTTGATTTCTGTTCGATTTTATTTTCTTTCGATTAAAAGATATATTTCTTTCCCTGTGTATATTTATTTGATAAATAACAATTAAGTACTGGCATGTACAAAGTGGTCTTTTAAAGATCCTCCGCCGCTGTTTAATTGAATCAAGTAAATCAATGGTAAAGATAATCCATATATCAAAAAAACTGATAGAATCGTAAATCGAAGATCATTTTTCACCGGATCATAAGCGCGTTAAGATGGAACGATTCGTTGTAGTCCTTCTTTCTTTAATTGAATCCTTTACCGTGACTAAATACGCGTCCACCGTGACTACCGCGTTTCAATTATCCTACTGATATTGATTCCTTAGCGTTCACCTTCGTGCGTTGTTTAATTGACTCGTCACCCGGTGCATTCCCTCCCTGCAATCTTCGTGTTCGGCCGGAAAGGACGGATCGAGGCGGCTCGACATTGCCTTAAATCAATTATATGCGCCGCTTACGCAGCCATAATTCATTGCACGGCCTTAATCTCAAAATACAAGATCAGGAAAAGTAATAAACGATCAGCGAGCTATAATGGCCGGCCTTGTGGCCCGATCTGGATCGCTCGCGTTCCACGCATTCTCGAAACTTCGCCAAAGTATTTCGGGTACCTGTCCGCGCGAAAATCATCTCGTCGATCCAAAGAAACCCAAATACTTGCGATTCTTACCGGTGTAAACGATTTTAATTCTGGTCCTGGCTCGTGGATAAGTTTGGACGAGATTGTGAATCGAATTCGTCACAAAGAAAATAATATAATTCATTTTTATCAGAGATCTTGCTGGTGATATGAAATACAGGTATATTATACAGGATCCGAAGTTTAATCCTGACGTCTGATTGACCTTGTCACGAATTTCCAGTTTGGCTATTAATCATCGCCGTATTTAAATCATAATTACAGGTTTCAAACGGTGACAATAAATTTAGCGAGATCGTGTATTTAAATCTACTTTTAAGAGGAGACTAATTGCTGCCGTTAACGGAAATTGATCGATGAAAAAAGGATACTCTTTCTATCTTGCACATGATCAGGGTTAACATTTTGATGGATAGTTCCAGTAATTGGTGCAACACTTTGAAGCACGTTCGCGGGAGATTCATGACAATCATATTTCTTACATTATTCGTATAATTGGGACTAAGGTTTTGAAAAACGTAAATTCGCAAGCTTTGTTATCGAATAATCCAACGACTTGTCGAAATGTACCATAAAATGAAACGTTCGCGATTTGAAATGTTTCTACAAAACTTGATCCTCTCTGGCAAAAACAACGAGTTCTTTTTATATTGCAAAAACGGCCTTCGGGATCGAGAGACGGAGAGAAAATCGTAGCGATCCCGCTCGAACAGATCCCGGTACCGCAGTCTAATTAAAGCGATTCCATCGTGGCGTGGATGACGTACGCCAGTGTTTTCGTGCAACGTCGCATCGGATTATCATTTCAAATGTGCATCCCGCGTAAATGGCGTCGCGTGGGACGCGAATGGATCGTTTCTCGGGTAATAGAGAAGTCCCATTCGAGAGGTCGTTTCGCTGGTTAATCGAGTCGACCGACACAGTCGACCCGGCTTTATTGCTCGACCGACGACAATAATCGTTCGCCAGTTGCCCTCAGGGCGAGGACGCCACCTCGAAACGAGGTTAATCGCAAGAAAGTGACCCATACAGGGCGAAACGTTCCTCCGGCTGCTTCACCCACCATCTCGTTCCCGTCCTCTATCGCGATCCATTTTGCGCTACGAGGCTAATTAAACGAGGATTTATGCGGTTGAAACTCGAGCAAACATCGTTCAAGGGATCGTGAAGCCAGTGGCTGCTTCTTTAAACGGAGACCATCAACGTCAACTGCGTTAACCGGACGGTAAATTATCGCGATAACTGGAGTCTCTGCTTGTAATATCGTTTTGTTTCGCGGGTAAAGTACAATTCAGACCTCGATTAAAGCGTTGGAATTATTAAAATCATGGCTGGATCGGGAGATTGTTGGTTTTACGGATATCTCTTGTTCATTTATCGTGTTTTGCACTTAAACAGCTTTTAACGCCTGCCAACCGAACGGGATATGTATCGTTCCGAACGACTTGATTTTTATTTATTGCGAGGAAAACGTGTCTCTTCGCTGCGTCATCCTTATGGCTTCGAATTATAATGGTGTCCTCGCGTGTCGTTGTACCATAAAATTGAACACCATTTAATCTTCACTGCTGTCCACTACTTCCTAGTCGGTTTCGATAAACCACGGATTTACGGTCTTGTTCTTCTCACCGTGACTCGACCACTTCGCGTGGATTCATTTAACTCGAGCTTAATGTTCATTGTTAAACAGGATCATTTGACAGGGATATGATTATTTAGTGATTCCGATAATTTTAAGTAAACCGAAATAAACATACCGGTTGAATGCGAAATGATTGCGGGTCGTCGAGCAAAGATTAATCATGGTTCCAGGGAATTTTCGTCGCGCCGCCCACGTTCGTTCGCGCCTCCAGCCACATTCCAGCTCTGACGTAATAAATACACGATTTGTATAATTTTGAACGCGACCGTGGACCGGGCTTTTTCCTACGTGCCATTTGCATTGTGTCGACACGCAAACACGACGTTCTTGGCCCGTTACGTTATCCCCGAGGCTGAAGGAACGTCTTCATTCTTGAACAATAACCTTACCTACGAAATCGAGCTTATTTAAAACAAGATCAGTGTAACATGAGCGATGAAACGTTTGAAATAGTTTGTCGAACAAGATTTTTCCTCCAAGATAGAATACATTCTTCTCGGTCCATTGAGAAAAACGTTGCACTGGACGCTTGATAGTCTGTCAACGTCTTTTACGATTGACACGGTGCGTATGGAAAATCGCGGCGTTAGGTCGCAACGCATGAAACTCGCGGGATTCGTCGGCGAGGAAAGCGAGGAACAGCGAGAGGAAGGAGCCTCGACGAGGGTCCGAGGCCGAGTCGAGAGACGGGACGACGCGACGCGGTGGCATACCGTCGAAGGCTTCGTTGTTGCCCATCCCGGGATTACGTACCTTGGTCGTAGACCTTACTCGAGGCGAGCTCGTGCTCGTAGCTGGTTGCATAACATCCGAGGCTCCTCGGTGGCCGCTCATTGCCGCGCGACCACGATTCACAGTAATACTTTGAGCATCCCACTTAACTGGAACCGCGACGAAAGGTTACGGGGATCGCGATAGATAGCGGCGTTATCTGCTTGCAACAACGTTTGTACAAACAGTTAAGGTAATGAACTTCGTGCCTTGAAATTGCTGTAATTGTTTGATATCTCGCTTTATAAGTGATTCGAGATCAAATCCTCCAGATCCATGTTAATCCTAATGAAGTAAATTGCAGTGTTTACAAATGATAAGAAGTTCGAATGTTTCGAATAGCAAAAAAAAAGTTGTCGAGTGAAAGATTGCAAATCAATGGCTCGTGGCGTGGACAAGTGGAAGCTTAGACTGATTAATTCATGGCTATATTTGAAAGTGACGCTTCAAAGTGTTTTTTTGAAGTGCCGATGATTGAGATTTCGACCGTGTATCAGCAAAAAATGAATCGTCGATTAATTTATCTTTTAAATGCAATTGCATTTTTTTTCAACCGATTTTTTTGTTCAAATCATTTAGCCTTTCTGACAGTATGTATTCCAGTTCGAAAAAAATCAGAATCTATTATTTAAAAGTAAACAACAAGGTCATTTGTTTAAATAATTTCGAAACAGAATACTATTATGTACACAAGATATTATAAATAAACACACTTGTCTCAAAAAGCGTATCTTGCATGGAACAGAGGAAGTGACTGTAAACAACCGGGGTTTCTATCGTTTCGAAACTTTCTCCAAAGTCATCTGAAATCTTTCTCCTGTTTGTTCAAATTCGTCGAATTGAAAGCCACCGAAGAGAATAGTCGAACGTTTGCCAGCAATGAATGCGATACTTTCTTCATCGTGACTGCCCTTTCGAGTTGGCAAAGGTGCTTCATGGGAGGTACCGACTCGAATAGCTGGTTAAACACCATGGTAGGACAGAATAGTCGAAGAAAGTATCCTCCTCCTGGCTTCTCATCTGGGATCATAATGACTCTTGAGCGTTGTACTGCGTTCCTAAACGCGTTGACAACACAATGAGTTGTATTCAAAACTCATTGACGGTCGTGACGATCGAAGAATGTTTGAGTTCGAAGACGAATGAATTTCACGTGTGGGCGAGAAGAAAGTTAAAAATTTGTATTCAATCAAAATTTCCAAATGAAAGTTTGGCTCGTTCCAAATACATCGTTCGTCAGAATCTGTCAACATTTTTAAATACCCCTACGTAAAATGATGCACTTTGCTCATGGTATATGAATTCCTATGGGTGCTTGCGAAATGCAGTTTCGAAAAGCAGCTATTAAACAACGTTTGTTACATACATTTATCGACTCTCCTCGCCGCAGAACATCGTACTGTAAATTATCAACTTACAAAGTAACACAGCAATCATGCTAAGTACCCGTACCTCCACTGACTGTTCTATTATTTACGAGCCTCCTATTCCTTTGTGTAATTCATTTGGAAAGTAAAATAAAGTCGTAGTGCAGTTGGTAATGATAAAAAAACAAACAAGGCAGAGAAGTGGTATTAGAAACATTCGAGATCCTCGTGCAAACAGCAACACATTATTTCGCGAATCGAATCAGCGAAGACAAACCGGTAGAAGATATCATCAGCATCTGTTTTCTTTCTCTCTCTGATTGTGTATGCCTTGCGAAATTCCAGTTTCCATGGTGGAGCAACAGTTCATCCAGCCGTGGCAGATAACTGAACCAGTCGTCATTAATTGCTCTGTACGCGGCGTGTTACACTTTGTTCCACGGGAATCTCGCTTATTACCATCCTCGATTTGCATTTCGTCTCGTTTATGCGCTCGGCGCGCGACCTAATCCCCCTCCAAGCCGCGTAATTGCTCTTTTACGTAATCAGGAATCTTTACGATAGCCAGTCGAACGTACAAGCAACACCCGGGCGGGATTTTCACGCGCTTCGAAATCACCAATTCGCGTGATGAACGAACTCGTAAACCCTGTTAACACTCGTGTACCTTTTCGCGTTTACGACGGCGTTACCTTACCGTTCGTATTTTTACGAGATCTCGCTATCTATCGCGGCCCTCGAGCGGCCGCTTGACGGACAGGTGAAACGGAAAAATGAGACAGGCAGATGAGGCAATCGACGAGATTTCGTGAGATACGCTTTTGTATTTTGAACGTTCACTTCGTTGCAAAAATCAGTCTCCTTCTCTTTTTGCTGGCCGATTTGAATAAACGGCAATGCTGTTGATGAAACGCGTCAAATTTGGCGAGATATTAATTTTAAAAAGAAGTCTCGTATGTTTATCCGAGATCGAAACCTTCCTTGGTTACAAAAAAAAAAAAAAAAAAAAAAAAAAAAAAAAAAAAAAAAAAAAAAAAAACAAGGCAAAGCTGTGCTAATTTCTCGGTGATACCCGATTCTTCGACCTCCCACCTGTTTCTCTGAACGAATAATGATAATCGTGGCCACCCACGCGAGTCTGCGGTGAGCCGGCCAGTTTTTCCGAGCGGTGTACAGCGAGACTGCTTTTTCTTCGCCAATTACGGTGCGGCGCTCGGCTAATCGCTCGATAAATCTCGTGGAAACATTTGCTTTAACGCGATTCATTTCGCCTCTGCGAATTCCCGTCGGCGACTCGCAGCAGCTGCCCTCAGCCTCGATTACCGCACGCTTTTTAAGTCCACTTTGTTCTTCTCCATAACGAGTGCTCTCTTTGTGCCGGAAACGTGACCGCCCACGTACGTACTCGGACACTTCCTACTTCTTACGTTTTGCCATCTTAGCGTATCTTCGATCGCTTCTCTTTTTCATTTTATCTGACGAATTGTTTGCTGATCGATTGCTTCATTCATCGGATTCCTAATCGATGCCAAGCGTGTCCGAGAGGATAAAACAGGCTCCGAAAGTGGTGACCGACATTAAGAGCCGGCAAATGCAAGTTGCGGCTGGGGCAATCTGGTCGTGGCATCTTGCCAAATAAACAAGCGTGTGTCGTGGGCGAGCAACTGGGCTCGTGACTTTTTATTATGCGCTTGAATTCGTACGAGTCTCACGAGCGGACAGAAGCTCGAAGCCACGAACGGCGAAAAATTCGGGTCCGATCTGGCCGAATAAATCGCATGCGACTGCGCGAAGGTAAACGCGCGGGTTGCATCGATACCTCTAATGATTAAGTGACTTTATTGCCTCATTAAGAAGTAACACGGGTATTTATGCGGTGCGCGGCATAAAGCGGTTGCTCAACACCGGATCGCTCGGAATAAGCGCAGTTTGAAACGGCTCCCGGCGCTCTTTCGCGCGGGAATGCGATAAAACGATGATCAGCAGAGGGCAGAACCGCGTAAATGCAAGATTTTCGAGCTGGTTACTCGTACCGACACGCGGTTATGATTAATTATCGCCTCGTTTGTTATACCACTTTCGTAAGATACGTCTCGGTGGCGGTCTCTACTCTTCTTCTCTTCTCTTCGTTTCTTCGAAAAAAATATTCCTCGCGCACGCTTCGCCTGTCAGCGTTTCATTTTTGCTGGCTAACTTTTATTCTTTCTTTTTCTCTCGCGATCCCAGAAGAATAAGAAGGTTTTTGTCCGTCGTTCGATCAGAAGCGTGCTAAAATTGAATGTTGCGTAATTTGTGTAACTTAATTGTTGTCTGACTGGCAGGTAATTAATGTGCCTAGGACGCGCCGTTACATTCAGAATTTTAACCTTTGAATCCCGATGAAAAGTGGCAATTGAGACCCAGCTACTATTAATTATAAATAGCATTATAAGTCACGAAGTGCTTCGATTTCTTCATGTCCAGTTACAAATTACTCCGAAAACTATCGGCTCGAAAAATTGAAAGCTTTTAGCCAGAACTTAATGATACGTCGATAAGGCTGGGTTTAATGCTCGCCTTGCGCCACGAAAATACGTCAACGGTTGGGAACATCGCGAAACGGTTGTGCCAAAGGCTCCCACTTTTTCTCGTTGCCACGAGATTATGTCATCGATCGCGAGAGGATTAAGAAAGAACTTAACGCTGATCAATTTGTCAGTCGTGCAGCGCGACGCGAAAAATTGAGAAGCCGGATGGTTTTGAAAACGAGCGACGCCGTGTATCGATGCCTTCTTATAAATGCGTTTTACCACGTTATGCAACTATCGGATCTGGAAGTGGGCTGACCGCGCACGAAAAGTCGCTTTTGTGGAGCGTGCATATCGTGGAAACATCGAAGTCACATTAAGACCGAAGCCCGAGACAAGCCATTAAAAACCGACTCGAAAACGTTGCACGCCTACATTTTAATCCTGCCCAACTACGTTTTAATTTGTCTCGTTCATACGTTTGCTCAATCTCTCATTTTCTCTCGAACCTCGTGCTTAATCGTTTTACCAGCAGAAAACAAACTCTGTTTTTTGTATCTATACGAAGTGCCAATGAACGTATTTCGTATTTCCCTTTTGTATTAGGAGATTGCCAATTTGTTCCATATTTTATCTTTCTGTGGTTTGATGTTATGTAACTGTTACTTAATAGAACTCGGCGTTAGCTACTATGTTACGTGTTCCTTTTTCCAAAGATTTTTTAGGAAACCTGAAGTATAATAAAACCGTAGCTAACTCTTCTATCGATTTTGATAAATGAGAATCGGTGTAACTTTCAAGTACAAGCATTTACAAGACTGTATAACAAGTACCATATTCACTTGTATGCACTTATCTTGTTTAGAACATGTTTCTTAATGTCTATCATTTACGAATCACCGAGTGCCCAGAATCTCTGCCCCAGATACTCGATCAGATACGAGTCAGATGGATTCTTCGTTTCTCCGTTCGAGCCGCAAGTTTCTTAGATATCAACCACCTATCCTTCTTATCGACCCTGCCGACTTTTTAAATCGTACATGGGAATGCATGGAACGGTGTTGTAATACGATCCGTGTCATTGCTGTAGAAGGAATTTGAATATGTAGATCACGCGGTACTGCGGACAGATAAAAAATCGCAGCGATAGTCACCGCCTTTGAAACGCTGCCACCGATTTGCATCACGTGCGCATAATTCGCTGCCATACCCATGGCGATTTTGTTCAAGTTCGTTATGCGGGATCGAGTTTTCGTTAACCCGTTCGTTGGGAATGAGATAGGAAGAGAAGGATTGTAATTTTCTCTGGAGCTTCCTCGAGAAGCAGATCTCAAGTTTTTCTTCTTAGCGGTTCGAGCTGCGGTTCGTTGGCTCTTTTCTCTTCCGACGTGGGACCCAGCGTCACGGTGATAAATCGCTCTAACGAACCGTACAAGCATCGTGTTATTATTATTTCTCTGTTCAAGGAAAGTGATTAGAATACAGAACGGTGGAAACCTGAGGAACGGGAGGTACAGGCGAACCAGCTCGTTGCGACAGTGGTTCGACTGGTCTGAAAATGGAAGGGTGCCCACTGATGCCAAGGCTGAATTCCATTTCCATTGCAACTCCTTTGGTCGGTGCACACAGCTGAATTAATGCCTTTGATTTACGTATCTAACGGCTTTCTGTTTGGGAAATCAAAGAGCTGCTCGAATGTTGACTCAGAGGATGAGAATAGAAGAAAAACTTGGGAAAGTTGAGCACAATTTCGACTTGCGAGAAATTTTAGCAGGAAACTTAGACATTGGTCATAGAGTTTTATTAAGAACACAAAGGGTTGAATTTCATTTTGTTCTTTTGTTTTGTCCTCGTGTTCTTCACGATTTTCGATAAATTCGTAGGCAAAAGTTGCATTATAGGTGGAAAATTTGTAGTATTTAATTTATATGTTTATTTCATGGAGAACTCTGTGCTTTGCACGGTTTAGATAGCACAATTTTCGAAAAAGTGTACGTTCGATTTTTCAACACCGATATCCCACGGCGAACTGGAACGGCTGAACGAAGCTGTGGTAGTTAGCAGAGTCAACGAAGCGTGCACGCGACTTTTCCACAGTCACTTTCATAATGCAAGCCACTTCCGAAAGTGAATTGACTTATCCGAAGTCGGGAGAAGGTTACGCATAATATGCAGCATTACGTACACGCCGATCGGTTTCGTGCTCAACCGTTTGGAATGCTTTCAATTTCCAACTCACAGTTTTCTACTTATTCTGTCTACATGGAATAAAGATTTCCAATCTTTTTTGCTTCACATACAAAATGAAACATTAGATGTTTATCGTATATCCATTTCAGTGAATTAATTAAAAAAAAAAGAGGGGAGGAAAAACGTATGAATAAAATTAACAGGTTCAATACCATTGACATGATTGACGATCAATACTATTTATCATAATATCATTGTTCATAAATCATCGAATGAATAGAGATAAGAAATCATAGCAAAATTTCAATATTTTTCTAACGCGCTGTAGCTGTTTCAATTCTACACTTTTCTACTTAAAACATTGAAAATGGTTCAAAGAAAGAAAGTAACAATTTGTTCGAATCGATCACGCGTAGCACGCTTCTTTAACGCTGAAATATATGTCACGGCTGCTTTGATATTCTTTCGAGCATACTGTCGAAGCCTCTCGCGTTTACAGACTGCCCCATTGTTGACTTGTTCCGCTGCTCGATGAATCGAACCATGACGAACGCGATTGCGACGTTTCCCTTAGCGGTAATAGCCGTTCAATTATCTCCTCGAAGCGTCAGCTAGCTCGAGATCGGTTCGCAATCGTGCAGCTGTTGCACATTCGTTGCGGCAACATCGTTTTCTGATAACTCGAACAACCAACAACCACGGTCCGCCGTATGCCAAACGTAGCGCAGAGTTAGTGAAACGATGCGTTAATGGTCCGACTTTCGCGTTGGCTATGCAACAGGTTGCGAGGATAATCACGGAATTCGTGTCGAACGAAATCGACGAAAAAGAAAGGGAAAGATTCATCCTTCTAGACAACCGATTTCAGATCCGAACGTTTTGCAATTCGGCCCATAATTTATGAGCCTTCGCCGCTGGATATTCAATTTCTTTCATTTTCCCACTTTTTATCGAGAAATTCGTCAACGTACAATTTTGCAAATTCGATTTTAATTGGACCGAATCGCTGGAAAGGTGTTCGAACGTGAATCCTTGCACGTTTACAATTTCCCTTTCCATTTGGGTATGTTTGTGCCGTGCTTTTTGTTCGGACACGTTGCGAGTGTTACGTTGTCACGGTTGCTTAACTCTTCTAAACCGGAACGCAATTTGTCGCGGACTTTCTCAGCGTTCACTGTTTAACGCAAGGACGAGAATCAGGGCAACATCTTGTAATAATAACGTGACACGTCGTAATCAAAACAAACCGGGTTGATGACATGACATTTCATTGTAACACTTCGATGGAAACGTACCTTTTTAGAATCTTTCACTCTTGCGATTTTAAAGAAAAAATTATTGATTT